AGAACAGTTGTTCCTGAAGCAGCTCCAATGTACAATACTTTAGCACCTGGACAAATAGTCATATTATCAACTCCTTTCAAAATTGTACATCCAAGTTTTGATCTATATGGATTCCATACTCTGTACTCAATCTTATTTCCTTCAGCATCTTCTTTGGCGATTCTCTTTTCACCATAAACTGATTCTCCTGGAACTCTGTTGATTGTTAATAATTGTTCTTCTTTACCTGAGGCAATATAAATACCTGGGAATTTTGAGTGTTCTCTAATTTGGACTCCTCCTTTAGATCCAATTCCCCCACGTCCTTTTGCTCCTCCTTTTGCTCCACGTCCACCTTTTGGTGCACCTCTTCCAGCATTTCTTGGACCTTTGTTGTCATTACCGAATCCTCCTCTTCCATTAGATCCTCCACGTCCACCTCTTGGGGCTCCTCCACGTCCAGTATTTCTTCCTCTTCCTCTTCCACTCATTTTAGGGTAATGTTTATTTAGATTTCTATCTCCCTTTTATTTTTCTTCTTAAAACCTAAATAATTTTTTTATTATTAATTATAGAATTTGTTTTTTAATTAAGGGTTTAAAAACGTAGAAAATAATAATTGTTGTTCACACCTATCAAATAAATGAATTCTTCTTATTTAAGAACATTATGTAACTCTGTTGACTGTGCTATATCAATTGGTTATATATTTTAACGATGTCTTAGTCTTTGTGTAGTTTCTTTCTCAATAAAAAAATGTTATTTTTACTAGCAAAAAAAAAGTGAATATCTGAGAAAGAAAGATACAGGTTCCTCATAATAATAAGAGTACAAACAAGTATTTCTTATTATTAGAACTGGAAGAGACTAAAGTGAACTTCCATGCTCATACAGTCATCGGGATCTTTTTCTTTCTTCTCAAATAATATGTCGATATTCTTATATTTAAAAAATATAAAATTTTAGTGACAATATATTTTTAGTTATATCTTTTAAATTTCAAAGGAACTTAAAAATTTTAAAAAGAAAATGAGTAGCGAAGATCAAATTCCTGATAATTGGAATCAACGAATTCAGATTGAACCAAAGGTTTTATTAAATGAGATTAGGTCATTAATAACATCTCCAGATTTTAGTAAAAAAACTGAACAATATAAGTTAAATATTTTATTTTTCCATTGTAAATTATTACTATTCCATATATCTGAAGATTCGTATGAAGTAATGAAAAAACCAAATGAAACTAATTGTTATTGTCCAAGAAATAAAACAGAAGAAATTCTTCTAACATTAAATCTTATTGAAGTGATCATAGGAAAGGACGTATCTAAATTATCTAAAACTCCTTATTTTGTCTTCTCTATTATCACATATCAACATGCTCATTTTGAAACTTTGTTAATAAGAATGTATGAACGAATGATCAGTGCTATGTCAGGAGAGCAGACAT